TTTTTTTATTAACTTAAAGCAAACTTAATAATTAAATCATTAATATTATTCATTATAATAAAATATTAAAGTAATAATTTTATAAAATGATAATATTTGTCAAGGAAAAATTAAATCCACATTTCGAGAATAGACTTTACGAGTTCGAATCTTTTTAGGACACCCTGTATGAAGATACATTTGACGTCGCGTGCCGGCGCTTAGCTCGTTAAATAAATCATACAATACACAAATAAAGAGCTTTGTTTTAAGACAACGGTATCTTCGAGGGAACGCCTTGGTATCCTTAACGCGAAGTTGATTACCTCTGCGATAAGGGTAGAAGGCGTCGGAAGAAATCTTGAAATAAGGATCTGCTTATGACCGTGCACGAGAAATCCGTTCTATTAATGAAACTTGCGCGATCGAAGAAAATTTATTTCGGGACATTCCGTTAACTAAGTTGGCAACTGAGATTTAACCGATCTCTGAAAATAAATTGCTAAAACGAAGAGCATATAGGATTTATTATACATGAAATATCACTCTTTTCGTCTGTTCAATTTATGATGCGAATACATTGCTTAATTCTAATCGAAAGATATAATTGAGCATAATTATCGTGTCTTTAATAATTCTCTATTGTTAATACCTAAATTATTATGACAGCTCCACAATTTGCAATTTCCTCCAATTAAATTCTGTGCACTTCTCTCTTTCTCTCTCTTCTATCTGTGCTTTCTTGCATATTTATTAAGCAATGCTTAACGCGATCATAGTGTAGAGTGTAATGAATTATAAATTACATACGCTGTAGGTGAAGGAGACGGAGCTTTTGGCGAAGTTTGCGTGAATTATTTATACATTGTTTACATTGCACATTATGATTTGCAAAGAGTTGAAAGACTGATGTACAAAGCATTCTTTCAATTTAACGCTTGAAATGTACGTATCAGAAATTAAAATATTTAGAAAAATTGCTTCTTTGATTATTATTTACTATTTTAATATAATTTATTTGAATAAAATGATGAAATATGAAATAAATGTCTACTTTAAAAAATTGATAAAATATATGATTTTTATTTAATCTATTTTACAAATGTTTAATATTTTCTTAAAAATGACTGTCTTTTGCTATCTTCTTGTCTACATATTTTTTTTAGCAAGAAATTAAGTATTTTAAAGAATTTATAATATTTAACTTTTTGTATCAATATTTCAATTACGCTTAATTATTGCATTAACCTTTCTTTTATATAGCTTGCATTCCTTTCCATTCTCGTTTATCCCGAAATTGAGTAAACGTGCAGCCATGCATTCACATTTTCACATCTGTTCGGCCTTTTTTTTACGTCTCTTAATGGGCGATTCGCTGGCCACCGGATACTGTTAAATTTCGATTATCGACAAAGGGAACGATGGGAAGTGAAGCCAACACTGGCTTCGTGTATGTATCGCATGGAAGCGACAGAGCCAACGAGGGCCAGCAATCAATTCTCTTTTGCCGAATTAGTCCGACAATAAAACTCCCCTGGTTTCTCTCCTCGCCGCCCTTTTCCCCTTCATGCCTTCTCTGCATCGTGTCGCTGCAGGTTACACGTAGCAAGGTAACGAAGGGCGCGGGTTGAACGGGGTGAGACCCGAGCATTGAAAATTCTCTGTGATTCGGCGGAATTGATTAGTCCACCGTGCCGCACTTGCGTATTTATGCAGGCCGCCTAGTCGTTACCGCTCGTGATTTCAGTTTGCATACGAGCCGGACTAATGCACGTACAAACGCGGGCGTGAGCCCGCCAGATTATTCGCTCGTGACGATTAACAATACCGGGCGGCCGGGCTCACCCTACGGGACAAGCCCGAAGTAGTCCTCGTTGCCCGGCATTCATCGGTCCCCCGATTCCAGATTGATGGAATGTCATTGATGGAATGTCGTACGATGCGACCCGGATATCGATCGCGTGTGCGAAATGCGTAAAATGTCTCTGGAGCGAGTCAAATTGATGTCAGCTCTAATTTAAGCTGGAGTATTCTTCGATGCTTAGTAATCCGTATCTTGAAATCGTTTAATTTATATATTCGCTTCTAGTCGCTATAAAATTCTCGATGTTCAACGATTTAGATATTCTGAATTCTGCATTTCTTATATAAAATTACATGAAAACTTTGTGATATCATATATAAGAAAGCTTGCCAATTGCATGAATTATTAAATGTACCAAATTATATTGCTTATACGCGATAAATGAACAATTAAAAAATTACGTGATAGAATCTAAAAATATATTTTTGAATATGTGAATTCAAATTTCTGCCTGAAAACGGTAGGAATTACTTTTAGGAAATGGTTCCCACTGTTCGCTGTGTACAGTTTTGTTTCAATAAGCACGCCACGATGAAACATAAAGCACAGAACTTCATATTTTAGAGACCTATTAAGCTTTTTTCAGGAAATGAATAATTGTTTTCGTTAACTGCTGGTACCAATATAATAAACGGTAATGTAACTGTGAATGGCGTACTTTAAATCGGACATTATTATTTTTGGTTATTTTGCCGATCCCATTGCGTGACGGTAATATTATTATTATGGCTGTCATGTACAAAAGGCAGAACATGTCTGTCGGATTATTCGCTAGCAGAAATCGACATCCCCAGGTGATCGAATTCCCATCGGTGTGCATTGTTTTCGTTCGCGACAGCGCGTCAGTTGATCGAAAATCAACCGTACGCCAACGATTTGCCATCCGTCGATTTGCTAAATGTTTACGCGCACTTATTATCGCCGCGAGCGAATCATAAATATTACCGTTAAATCCAGCTGTTTGAAATCGGAATTTTCGCTGTTGGTAAACCGGATGAATACTTTCTATGTCGATAAATTGCTGCTATAATCGTTGCTATTACCGCTCGAATCGATGCGCGAGGCGACCGCGTTAAAGCGATAACAGACGAACAATTAACAATCCCGAATGTTGTAATCTCTCTGTGCGCCGCGTTTTATTACGAGTATCTCTCTGTTGACGTTTTAGTTCTATGTTAATTGGACACATAATCAGGTCGAATTGAGGATTTGCAAGAATATTATTTGTGAATAATAATGGCTCTATTAAATCGACAAAACTAAATAATTCCGAGAATTCAATTAATAATAATTAGTGATTGTGAGAAAGCAAAACGTTTATAGTAATAAATATCATAAATATCATACAAAAAACAAAGATCTTTACCTTACGATTTATTTATACAGATTAAGTTATGTAAACATGTAAATTTATTAGAATATGTAGGAAAAAATCAATTATAAGTTTTATCTGGTTATATTCATTAAATTCTCTCTCTCTCTCTCTCTCTCTCTCTCTCTCTCTCTCTCTCTCTCT